GGCTTGAAACTTGAAGCATTTAAGCTTTTATGTGAGTTGAACATTTTATTAAAAGTTTAGAGTAAATTTGAAAAAAATTTAATGGAATAGTGATTTTCTTTTGTCGAAATAACCTGAAATTAGTAGAAATCTCCAAAGATTTCAAATTTATCCTCATATTCTAGATTAAAGTTAATTAACAAAAATTACAATTTCATAAGAAAGGCAGAAAATTTACCTCTCAATTGGTGAGAGTCGTGTTTGGTCGCGCTTGCAAACTTCTCTCTTCAACCTTGACACGGCAACGGTCGAATTGCCGGCTGCCATTTGAGATTCCGTGCCTCCTTTTCAGAAAACGACCGTTAATCGAGCCCCTTATCAGCGCTGAGATTATCGCCTCCCAAAAGATCATTTTGCCCATGTAAAATGGAATAAAGAAAACAGCCCGCCTAAACTGGGCTCAAGGCTCAGCCAATGGCACATAACTTTCTCTCAACAAAATAAAAATAGGAAAATATCAAAAAACCACCCTTAATTCAAAAATATTTAGAGAGAAAAAAAATCTAATATAAGAGCATCGCCAATAATACTAACTAAAATTTTGTTATATAACTAGTCAAATAACTCAAATCTTATTTTTCCTTAAACTTAACAACCCAAACCTTTTTTCGTCTCTGGAAGCCCCGAAACAGTACAACTTCATAGTTTTTAATGTTTCACAAAAAAAATAACTTTCTGTTCCCAGCTAAATCTAGCTAGTTACTGTTCACAATCAAGATGAGTACTTTTCAGTCTCTTCTTTAACTAGTTTGCTAGAGATGCTCTAACATGGAGAAATTAGTCAAACTAAACAAAAATCAATCCCTCAATATCACACTCCTGTCGTAGACTAAAAAGCCAATGAGAGTGCGTCAAAAAGTTAACTTTGAATAAGGATAACAATTTTGAAGCTCGCATCTCCATTCTAATTTGAATATTTTATAAATTTTGTATGTACTTAAAAGAAAGAGTGCGGGGGATTAAGTCTTAGTTTCGTACTGAGTGATTTTAAAAAAAAATGTTTTTTTTTTATGTTTGGTAAACATTCAATTTTAGCTTTTTTTTACAGTTTTTGGTCACATAAAGCTGCAAAACTCAGCTTTGAAAAACCAGTTTTTTTTTCACATCTGTTTTACATAAAAGTTTATCAAACACTATAATACTACTTTCTTTTTTTTTCAAAAGCACTTTTACAAAAAAATTTACCAAACACTCTGCTGCTTTATTTCATAGCCGCTTATTCTTATAGCACATCAAAAGTAGTTTTTTTTCAAAGCACATCAATACCAAACCAGCCCTAAAAAACTAATGTGATATTCACAAGGGCAAACGCTTTGACATGATAAAATACATTGCTTGAAGCCCTAAATTCAACTTAACTTTGGTAACGAAAAGGAAGAGTAAATTGTAACAATGATCCTTCAACTTTAATCAAATTGGAGCAATGGTCCCTCAACTTATCAAAATGTGTAGCTATAGTCATTTTCATCAATTTCGTCAAAATTTTGTCAAAATAAGTTATGTTGGAATAACCATTTATATAATAAGGGTCTCTCAACTCATCAAAGTGTGTAATTATGGTCATTTTCGTCAACTACATCAAAATTTTTGTCAAAACGAATGGAAGGACCATTGCTACAATTGGGTTAAGGTTAAGGGACCATTTCTCCAGTTGAATTAAAGTTGATGGACCTAAAGTGAAGGGACCATTTCTCCAGTTGAATTAAAGTTGATGGACCAATGGTAATAGATTTTTAGTTGAGGAACCATTGCTTCAATTGAGTTAAAATTAAAGAACCATGGTTACAATTTACTTGAAAATGAATAATGGTCAGCAAAGAAACAGGAATATGATACTGAACAATGAGAGCATCTTTATAAATTAATCACGCCTGTTGGAGACAAGACAGCAAAAGCTTGTGCATATCATGCACTTATGTATTTTGAAAGTCAGTGCACCGTCTTCGTTCACTAATCATGAAGCTGAAAGCTTTGGCCTAGGTTGATAAGGTTGTCGTGAAAGGTAATTTCATGAGCAGATACATGTTTAATCAAGTTGGTTAGAACAATATGCTTCATTTTCTGTATGCAAGTTTGAATATCTCTTCTTGTATTTAGATAAACAATGTAATTATCCTACCGTTTGTATTCTAACGTATATTTTTTGATCGATGACATGTCACATATGTATATCTCAAGATCAAAGTTGTAATCAAGCATGCATGCATGTTTGTTGCTTCCTCGATATATCTCTCGTCATGGCCAACTTTATCAAGCAAAAGTTAACGCACCAAAGTTTTGCATATTGAAAATTCCTTTGGATAAAGGGAAAAGCAAATCGATTGAGACTTTAATTAAATTTAAGATTCCAGCTCTACAAAGTTCATTATTTGCCGATTGTTTACCTGCCTAGGATACCCTACATTGTACATTTTTGGAGAAAGAGAGAATAATTTTAATTTTTTCAGAAAGAAGGAATAATATAAGCCAGATACTTATCGACTGATATGATAATATTTAATACGTTTCGTACCGACTGATACAATAATACTTCATTCGTTTCATATCTAGCTTGGTTGAATTTTCATATCCTAAGTTTGGTATAGAATAAGTTGATTTTTATAGTATTATCGGTCAATATTGTTGACTATGATCAAAAGTAAGAACCCTTCATGATTTTTAACTTTTTATGAAGAGGGCTACAAAAAAAACGTGCCCATGTTTCCCATGCATGTACGAATCACTAGTTACTTTAAAGAAAAGCTTAAATATTAAAATGATCCTTGTATTTTAGTTATCCGGTTAATTTAGTTCACGTGTTTTTAATTTGGTCAATTTGATCTTTGTGTTTATCTCTATTAATCAATTAATGACATTTCAATCTAATTTCTGTATATATAAAAAAAATTATTAAAACTTATATATATATATAATTATAATTTATTTAGTTTAAAATGAAATAAAATTAAAAATTAAAAGAAAAAATTATTCTCCTCCCAACTCTCTGGCCTCCTCCCTAACATTACCCCTCTCTTTTCTAGTTCACAACCTTAATCATTTTTCACATTGAAAGGTTTATTTCTTATGTGTGTTATTTCTCATTGATTTGCACTTTTCTATAATGATTTTTCTTTTGAATTTTTTAAAAGAGATTGAATGAAATGTCCTTAATTGATTAATAGAGACAAACACAAGAACTAAATTAGCCAAATTAAAAATACGGGGACTAAATTGGCCATATAGCTATAACACAAAGACCATTTTGACCTTTAAGCCTTAAAAGAAAACTAAAAGCGTGTCTTTTATTTCTGACTTGAAGAAAAGGAAGGCACTGGAAACATGTACCTCTAAGGTCCTAATCCTTGAAGAAACTCTAGGGTAGAGAGGAGACATGATTTAGGATGTCCCTCCAATGTTGGGTTTGAGTGTGGTCCTATTCCTATATAAGCTTAAATGATAGTGTTTTTTAGTTTTTTTTTTTTTTCTCTTCTTCTTTTTAGAAAATAGACGATATATTAAGAAATCTCAAACGAAAGTTACATTATATTTTGAATGAGGAGATCCTGAATAATATCAAGTGGGTCCTCAAACCAAACTACTTCGTTGCTAATCGAAACAGCAAATTGAACTAATCTATGGGCTACCCCAACATAGTTAATTAAAAAGTTTAATGAGGTTTGAATGATTAATTTATCTTCCAACCAAACCTAGAGGGATAACAAAACAGATCAAATGTAATTTCACGATTTTTTTGCAATAAAATATTACACTTGTACACAAAAATTCACCAATAACTTCTTCCTTCAAATCAAAAAACAATTAAAAGAGGTGGTGAGAAGACGCTAATATATCATATCCACGAAATTGTGACTCATCAATGTCTATTATCCCTCGTTATTACAGACTCGTTGGAAGTGCTTTTAAAATGATTGAAAACCTTTTTAGAGAACATGTGTTGGGTTCCACAAGCATCAGTTATGTGCTTCTTCCATAAAGCACTTAAAGTGTTTTTTTCCCTGTATTCACTTGCATTTTTACTAAAAATTGGTTCCAATTTTTTTTTTTATACCAAGAACGGATTCAATTATTTTAAAAATGCTTCCAAATGAGCTTATTTGTTAGAAAAACGAACATTAATCAAACAATAAATCAAATGATTAGAATTAACTAATCACTTTCTCATATAACTTGTTACTAGGACATAGAGTTTTCAAAGAGTGGCTAGTGACTGGCAAGAATGAGAAGCTCCACCTCTACTCTAATCATTGATCAATTTAAGGTCTCTTGTTTTTACATATTTATAAACCATCCATTGTCGTTTAACCTACAATCTCGTCCCTACCTCTGTCGTTTTACATGCTTTCTCCTTGGTGCTTCTCTCACAATTATGCCGAGTCCTAATTAGGAATCTACCAGCAGAAAAGTCCAACTTAGGCCATCTGCTTACTCTCTCTCTCTCTCTCTCTCTCTCTCTCTCAGAGACATAAAAATTCATGCAAAAATATAAAAAATAAAAATAAAAATCCAAACTTTTTTGTTTGAAACTATTTGCTCTGTATTGGCAATAATCCCAAAGCTCGTGGCTTTAGCGGCAGGGTGAGTCATTGAGTTGTTAAAGTACACTTTGAAGACAGTGCGCGTCGTCTTCCTACTTTCATGCTTCTTTTGCGTGCCTGTTTTTTTCCTCATCTGCGTAAAAACTCGAAAAGCTGATTCATTTGGTTTCTATGCCTGTCATGATATAATCGTTTCTGCTTTTTCCCATAGTGATTAATGCGTGTTTCTGCTTCTGGGTTTTGTCTCTTGTGAACTGTATCCCTGTAAGGGGTACTTCGGATGTGGGTTTTGGTTGTTGGGGTGTAGTGTATTTCAGATCTCTGCTTATTCCCTCAGTGATTGTGCATGCTTGTTCTGCTTCTGGGTTTGCCTTTTCTTTAAGAACTGCACGGCTTGTGAGGGAGATTTTTGGATGTGGGTTTTGATTTTGAGGTGTGTTGAGTTAGCGTCGGGGTGCAGTCAGTGATTGTGCATGTTTTCTGCTTCTGTGTTGGCTTTTTAATGAACTGTACGGTCTGTGATGAAGAATTTGGATGTGGGTTTTGATTGTGGGGTGTGCTGAGGAATTGTGGGGGTGTGGGATTTCAGAACTTCTGGGTGTGCTGAGTTATGAAAGAGAAGGGTGACGGGAAAGTTGTGGTGGTGGCTGTGGAAGCATTGAAGGAGATTCCAAGGACTGCTCTGGTGTGGGCTTTGACTCATGTTGTGCAGCCTGGTGATTATGTCAAGCTTTTGGCTGTCATTCCTTCTCACTCAAGTAAGTAATCTTCCTTGTATTTCGATCGAAGAAATTGCATATCTGGGTTAGACCAGTTGGTCAGGGCAGTATTATGTCCGTCCCTTGCACCCAAGTTCGAATCCCCCTCTCCGTAGATTGACAAGCAAACTGTTTAGTGTGGCATGTCTAAGATTGGTGTTCTAATTCATTTCTTGACATATGTTGTTCTCCTGTGACTGTAAGAAGTTTTTATCGTTAGGGAACTTTTTCGTGAACTGGAAATATGTTAATGGTTAACTCTTCCTCTGGATTTGTCTATTGGGTAGTAATTCTGATAGAGGTTCTTCACAAATTCGAAGCTTAGATATCGGTTTCAAAACCAAGTTGAATTATGCCTAAGGTGTATCTGATTTTTGCTTGGTGAAATTTTAACTCTTCGGTTTGTGCTCGAGTTTATATCAACTCGGGTGGCCAAAATTGATGGTTGATTGATGAAAACACCATGTGTCTAGGTAAAAGGATATGGGATTTTGCAAGGTTTACCAACGATTGCACGACGAGTCACCGGAGGTCTTTCTCAGGAACCATGTTAGATGACAAGGATGACATTGTGGACTCATGCTCTCAGATGCTGCTGCAACTCCGAGATGTCTATGATCCAGAGAAGGTCAGTGCATCAATGTCGTTTCGTTCCCAATGTTTAGTCCTTACATGCATTACAACTAATACTAATTCCATATTCGTCTTCACAGATAAAGGTCCGGGTAAAGATCGTCTCTGGCACACCGTGTGGTGTTGTGGCTTCTGAAGCAAAGAAAGCTCAATCAAACTGGGTTATATTGGACAAGTAATACATTCAATGTACCCTTAATATCTATTAAATCGTCATCCCAAAAAAATTTGAGAAAGCTTTTTCTCCAGAATATTGTTTCATTCCCTTACTTCCGGTTAAAGTTATCAATCTTATTTCAATCTTTTGCAGAAAGTTGAAATGTGAAAAGAAACACTGTTTGGAGAAGCTGCAATGCAATGTCGTGATTATGAAGCGATCTGGGCCAAAGGTTCTTCGGTTGAATTTGGTTAATTCTCCAAAGACGGAACCTGAAGCGCCTTTGTGTTCGTTGTCTGAATCAGGATCTTATCCAAAACTTCTGAAAAGCCAGTGTGAAGAGTGGCATATGATTAGAGGGCCGACTGTGACTCCAACTAGTAGTTTCGACCGCGAGTCACCTCTGACTGCTACGGATATTGGAACATCATCTATATCAAGCTCAGATGCAGGGACTGAATCATGCTCGATTCTGAAATTTTGGGGAGGTTAAAGCAAGAGTATCAGTATGCGAATGATTCTGACAATGAGGCAAACCATGAAAACCGGAGTTCTTGTCATGCGAGCTCATATTGCCAGCCATGGATGACAACAGATTACCTAAGTTCCGGTGGTGAATTTTCAAGATATGTGGCAGAAGGTTCCGAGAGACATTACAATAAGGCTTTGATTTCAACATATGGAACCTTGCTGGATAAGTTAGCCAACTTAAATCGGCAACCTGATGTTGGAGTATTGAATTATAGGCTTGATTTGAACTTAAGCAGAAGTGTACGTGAAGCAATCTCGCTATCCAGGCACTCACCTCCCAACCCTCCTCCATTGTGTTCGATATGTCAGCACAAGGCACCTGCATTTGGAAATCCACCTAGGTGGTTCACTTACGCTGAGCTGGAACTTGCTACAGGTGGATTTTCAGAAGCAAATTTCTTGGCTGAAGGTGGATATGGCTCTGTACACAGAGGCGTCTTACCGCATGGTCAGGTTGTTGCTGTCAAGCAACATAAATTGGCTAGTTCTCAAGGTGATAAGGAATTCTGCTCAGAAGTAGAGGTCTTAAGCTGCGCGCAGCATCGCAATGTTGTAATGTTGATCGGATTCTGTGTGGAGAATGGTAAAAGGTTGCTAGTTTACGAATATATGTGCAATGGATCTTTGGATTCTCATCTGTATGGTAAGTTCAACATCCCCTTTGTCAAAAGAGCGGATACATAACCGCGAACACTCTCTGTAGAAGTTTGTTTCACCTTTACTTCTGAGACCTACCTAATTAAGGGGAATGCTAAAAATTTTCAGGGAAAGACAGTTGCCCGTTAAAATGGTCTGCACGACAAAGAATTGCAGTTGGAGCAGCTCGAGGGCTGAGATACCTTCATGAAGAGTGCAGAGTGGGTTGCATTGTCCACCGGGATATGAGGCCGAACAATATCCTTCTGACCCATGATTTTGAACCATTGGTATGGACATCCTTTCCTCATCACTTTCAAATAAATTTCAAGTACTCTCTTCACCAAGTTTAACGTTTTCCTTGACGAATCGCACTGCGTATGAGTGTTTATGCAAAATGCATCATTTGGAGTAAAACCAACTGACTTCTGGATTTTCAGGTCGGAGATTTTGGACTCGCACGGTGGCAACCAGATGGAGATATTGGGATGCAAACAAGAGTACTTGGAAGATTCGGGTAAGACCATACGACTTGAGAGGTCTTAATTAAATCAAATTACCATCGGATAATTTTTTTAGACTAAATCAGAAACCTTGTGTTAATGTAGTTACTTGGCTCCAGAATATGCTCAAAGTGGACAAATCACAGAAAAAGCTGATGTGTATTCGTTCGGAGTAGTATTAGTAGAGCTCGTTACAGGACGGAAAGCTATGGACTTAAACCGCCCGAGAGGCCAGCAATGCGTCACTGAATGGGTATGTTCGAGTAAGGCAACTTTAATTTGAGATAGCTGATGTCTATAATGGCCATTGCTTACACTCATTTCTGCGGAGCAGGCACGCCCCTTGCTCGAAAGAAGGCCACTTTCGAGCTGTTAGACCCGCGGTTAAGGAACTGCTATTCGAAGCAACAGGTTTGCAACATGATGCAATGTGCTTCCTTGTGCATCAGGCGTGACCCTCGTTCGAGGCCTCGAATGTCTCAGGTATGTGTTGCTGTCATGTAACCCTCACTCACTGCTGGTACGTGTTGTGAACTTGTTTCTTGTCCAATTTGTATCCGCAGGTGCTTCGGATTTTGGAAGGCGATGACATTCCGGCGAATTCGCCAAATCATTCTTGCTTGAAGGAGGCCTTATGAGGACATTCTGTAGACATCCCGGAGAGATAGATATGCCTGTAATCAAGTTGAATATATGTGGAGATTTTGTAGACAACTGTCATCTTCCTGTTACTATAGTAAAATTAGTGTAAGATTTTGATATAATGAGCTTCTTTACTGTCATTTGGGAGTACGAAGGTGCGATATTACTTTACCTATCACATGATTTATTACAAAATAATGCTCGGCAGATCACATAACTCCATTTGGAAAAAAGAAAAAAAAAAATATCACATAACTCCACATTATACTGAACCATTGTTCTAAGGGTTGGTTTGAAATTGCCTAAATTTTTTTAAAAGTAGCTTCTTGAATAAGTTGGAGTTGAAATTGTGTTTGATAAAAGAATTATTTTTTTCTTTTTCAACATTATGAATCTAAAACAACAAAAAAAAGAAGCAACTAATGGCTATGCTTTCCAAAAAAAGTGCTTCTTTCATAAAAGTTGGGTGAACAATAATTTTTAATAAAACTTTCATATTAACAATCCGCGGTTTTCTTTTCTTTTGCTAAAAACAATTTTAGCACTATATAGGTAACCAAACATTACACCACAGCTGTTTACTTCTGCTAAATGAAGTACACCCGTCTCTGATTGGTGGATTATTGACGGTAATTGGTGAAGTTGGGCCTACATTTGTTAAAAAAAAAAAAGGTATAAATCGAGAAAAGCAGAGTATGAGTCTGAGTGAGGCCACGGGACGAACACCATGCGTGCGTTGGTGAAAGTCGGCGGCAAACGCTTAAGCTCTGCGCTGAGCAGCCTCAGCTCGCCGTATATCCGCCGCTTCTGCAGCAGCCTTATCTCCGGCTCCGTTCATCCCAGTGCAAACGTTCACCCCAATGCCGTTTTGGGTCAGGTACTCCACCTATCAATGCTCAACTAAATTAGCTTACTTTTAGTGGCGAAACTCATAGTGTCGTTGCGGTTTGGTGTTTCTGCGACAGGGTGTTTCAATTGGACCCTTTTGTACTGTTGGGTCGTCGGCGAAGGTTGGAAATGGCTGCCGATTATACCCCGGAAGCCATATTTTTGGAAATACAGAAGTTGGGGAGCGTTGTGTTTTGATGACGTGAGTTTCGTGTATATAAATATGTACATGTATATAGACATTGTTGATAACTTGATAAAGGTTTCGACTTTGATTTCAAGCTTTGAACTTTTGATTGGTGTGGTGCAAAATTTGTCAGGCAGTGGTGCCATTGTTGGTGATGATCTTCCAGGGCGTACCGTGCTCGGGTGTGATAATGTTATTGGACACCATGCCGTGGTTGGTGTCAAATGCCAAGATTTGAAGTACAAGGTCAGTTTCGATATGTTAACGAATTCACTACAATACTTTAACTTTTAAGACAAAGTTCACTAGTTTGTGTTTGTTTTGTGATTTAGTCAGGCGATGAATGTTTCCTTGATGTTGGGGACAACAACGATATCAGAGAGCATACTTCGATCCACCGATCTTCGAAGTCGAGTGATATAACAGTATGTGGATATGTTAATTAATTTCAAATTTGAGTTTCATGCTCTCATTGTTGTTATGTGATCAGGCTATTGGGAATAACAATCTTATCATGGGATCTTGTCATATTGCCCACGATTGCAAGATCGGAAACAACATCATTTTTGCAAATAATACATTGCTGGCGGGCCATGTTGTGGTGGAAGTAAGCCCTTACGCTCTCTTTGAATTATGAAATTTCAAATTTCAGGATATTGGCTGAGTTTTCATAGAAAGATATGTTCTTTTGCTCAATATACAGATTACATATGATACGTCATACATTATATTTGTTGTAATCCACAGTGTTACATCGTGTCTTGCATTTCAAACTCCTCTTCTACATCAAATGTAACGCTAGTCTGTTTTGCAAATTTCAAGTAAGAATATATCCTGATATATACTTCTATTCTACTTGTAGTATCTGATATTTAGTTGCGTTTCAAATGTAGGATTATGCTCACACTGCAGGGGCTGTTGTCGTTCATCAATTCTGCCATGTTGGCTCTTTCTCATTTATTGGTGGTGGCTCTGTGGTATGCCAGTCTTTTTACCATCTTTTATGCAACGTGGAAACTTGAACAATTGTTTCAGAGTCTCATACTAGCGAATTGTGAGATTGGTGCCAGTACATGAATTTGGCTCAAAAATTTTCACCATTAAATCTTTGATTTAATATGTTCTTTTTCATATCCTTGAAGATCGTACAGGATGTTCCAAAGTACATGATGGTCGCAGGAGAAAGAGCTGTGCTTCGGGGTTTAAACCTTGAAGGTCTTCGGCGTAATGGATTCACAGCTGCAGAGGTTTTGATTAATCAATGTTTCGTCTTAATTTTTGACATTTTTCATTTCATTTTATTTAATTGCAAATCTAAAAGAGCTTTATACCTCTGGGCAAGGATCTAGATCAGAAGCCTGAGAACAGCTTACCAAAAGATATTCATGCCTGCTGATGAAAATTCCGAGGATTTTGAAGAACGTCTTTCTCACGTGGTATTACATTCAACCTCATATCTACCCTCTGACATCTAAGCTTTTAAATTGCTGGTCATGGAGCTAAATTCATTTTGCAGGAGCTGCATGCTGAATTGGCTCATATACCTGCAGTCCGTTCCATGGTGCAGTCTATCCGTGACTCTTTTGAAGGAAATCGACGTGGAATATGTAAATTCAGACATTGGAATGGCTCTTAAAAGCATGTAACAGGTCAGTTTCTTTGTTCTGTAAAGATATTATTCACATATTACAAACATCTGTGCTTCCTAGGCATCACTAGAGTTATGCCTATGAATTCTTGCAGTTAATTTGGTTTTCTGTTTCATCTTTTCGCAGTGACCTAACTGCTAGTTTATTTACAACACAGCTGAGGATGTGCTCCGGTATGTAGTATGAAGAACTTGCCAGGCAGCTCGTGGCTGTGCCGAAGAAACAATGGAATACAGCAAGAAGTCGCAGATGCTAACAGAATGTAGAAGTATTAATCTTTTTCAACTAGTGAATTGTTTCAAGGAAATTACTTGTGCAATTTCTTTGAAGTTAGAAAACAAACATTCCTTTGAATTTTTGTACAAGAAGGTTGACCTCAAATTCTCAGAAAATGCTAGGAATTCATTTGATGCTTTAAAAATGTTTTTTTTTTAATTATTCTTTGATTACCAGAATATATTATTAATTAAGGTATGCTTTGATGCTTCAAAAATCAAATCAACATAAAATATGTTACAAGACAATCTTGGAGTTTTTCCTAGTTTTCAAAGTTCGTTGTTTTCCTTGTTGAAAATGGAAGCAATTCAAGTCCATCAAAAGGCATATTGAATTTGATTTAAAATTGTTCTTCTTGTGATACCATTGACTAAATAATTGTTGAATACTGTTCTTCATTTCTTTTTCTTTGGGGATGTATATATCCACTATTCAATATTAACAAATCCTTATATATGAAACTATTATTAGTACTGTAAAATAGTTATTATGCACTCAAAATCTATAAACACGCGAAAAATTACATAAGAAAGAGAGCAAAATGTCATTTTTTAAGTGGCAATATAGTGACAATTGGTCCTTCGTGCTTTTGCATAACTCACAACTTTGACCCCTAATGTTCAAAACCGACCAACGTCATCCTCCATATTTAAGTTCGCGCCCCCGTCAATGTTGCCGTCACCGTGATAGTTTTTCTGCTGTATGAACTTCAGCCATTCATTTGCAGTTTCTGATACTTAATAGTTAATCCACCAGGGCAGGATAAATTGTGATAACAAAAATACACTGATGTGTTAGAGACAATTGACCTCATTTTTTCAAAACGAGATATTTTGGTTTTAAGAATGATTTGAACTCTTTTTTAAGTGCTGTCCAAATTACTTGATTTTCCAAGTTTCCTCATCTGCATGGTAAATATTCTCTCTCAACTTTGACTTTGAAGCAATGACTTGAAATATGTTTGGCCACCTCACTTTGTAGTTAGAACACAAATATTCTCGTTATGACTAGGTGACCAAAGAATGCATGAGTATTCACCTTATTGAGGGTTAAAAAACAGTGGTGATTTTAGCGTTTTAATTCCAATTTTTTTATATCAAATTCAAGAGTAGATCACCATGAATTTGAAAAAAGTTGAGGTTGCACCATAAAACCAACTAAGAATATAGAGAGTAACCTAATTTCTTATAAGTACATGCAAAATCCCTTCTTTCACCGCTGCGGAATTAATACTCTCAACATACCCTCACGCATGACGAATTTTCAAGTCTAACACGTATACAACACAAATCGAGTGACGTGTATGGCCGTTGGAGTTCACACTTGGGACAATCTGCTCTGATACTACAGAAAAAATTAAAATTTCACCATAAAACCAATTGGCCCATAGTTTGAGAAAAACATCTTCTTCCTGGAGTGAAATTTTATTTTGTTGCAGCAACAAATAAATAAAATTAAGTCGGAAATAAACAATAATCTTATTCAACACCGTTTCAAATCATTCCCCCTTCATAAAATTAATAAAACAGACAAAGTGACAATAATATCACTTCTTTTGTGGCTGCTGATATGAGATTGTTTACTTATTTTGATAGGAAAAAAAAAAAAAAGATGCCGATGAGTGCTTGTACATTGGATCTTCCTCTACTTAATCATTTGTAGTTGCAACTAATAATACTGGATTATGGCATGTGCCGTAATCTTTAGCAGTAATGGAAAATATAATGATTAAAATATTAAGATAAGGATATGAAAATGAGATTTAAAGGCATTATGCTCAGTTCCTAAATAAAGATTGAAGAGAGCAGTTGAGTTCTTGGGGATTGAATGTGACCCATCTTGAAGCCTCGTCCGTTCTTTTAACCTTCTCTTTTTCTTCCATATTTGAACGAATTCAAACGTTGTGCTCCTTTTCCATGTTATACATATGAACACTCTCAATTCTCTTGGTCGCCTAGTGATCACGAATTTAAAATTATTCGCCGTTGAATTTGATATCAAAGATTAAGATCAAACCACTAAACATACATCGATTTAATTAATCTCTACACTTAATATCAAATCCAATTGCGAATGACCATACATTTCTTGATCACATGTTGCCGAGGAACATTTTTTTTTATTTTTTATTTGGGGGAACACGAGGATTTTATACTTGTCAGTGGATGGAAGCTAGTGTTTTACAACCTTAATAATTTGTTAATAGACCCCAAAAGCAGATATAGTTAGCTTTTGAACTTCAGCAACTCAGGCTGATGGCTACATTTGGATATATTTTATGCCCATTTAATTTTCATAAAGTTGATGCCTTTTGAGTTTGTGTGGAGGCCATTACGGAAAACAAGCAATGATTTTCAATCAATCTGCATCGGATTTTGTATAATTTAACAGGAACATGATTTAGCAAGTACACCAAAGTTTATAATTAAAGTTGGAGAGAATTATATCTAGGAGGAATATATGCTTTAATATTCAATGTGTTCATCAACTTGGTACTTGATAAATATTCCTTTTGAGTTGCATGTATAAAAGAAGTATTTTCAGTTGAAGCTGAGATCTCAAGCTCACCATTCTTGCAGCACCCAAACCACCTACCCTTTGATAAAGGGGGAGAAGTATAACAATGCAAGGGAATTTAATTGAGGGGGACACACATGTTCTGCATTTGTTTTGAGTAGTTATTAAAGTAGATGAGAGAAAGTGAGTGGCTTAATAACTGTTAATGCTAGTGAGAAATATTTTACGAATAGTTGTATATAGATAAAAATGCCTCACATATAATTTGTTAGTGTCTGGAGCAATAACAGTTGGGTTCCAAGAAAATTTCTTCAAAAAAATTTTAGGTTTTTTTTTTTTTTTTTAATTTTTTTTTTTATTACTATGAAAAGAGTTTTGAGGAGTTTATTTTGTGAAGAGCACCAATTAAAATCACTATTTAATAACATAATAATTTTGATAAAACAACATCTCATTTCAATACATTGAAGTGTCAATTTATTTGGGTCCTATCCTATGGCATGCAAACAAAGTAGGGACAAATATGTGACACAACTTTTTTTATACTGCATTTGGCACACGTTTTTGTGGAACTTATTTCGTAATGTATTTCAACGATCCAAACTGTTTATCTTTTAGGTACTTCCTCAAATATCATGTCTATCAAAAATCATCTAAATCTGAAACCATATGACCGTGGATTAAGGGTTTAGGGTTCTAGCTTTGAATTTGTCTAATTTTTTGCAAGGATAATTTATGAATGATGTTCTAAAAAATAGACGGTTCAGATCGTAGCAATACATTATAAAGTAAGCCTCACAAAAATATATATCAAAATGTACGTAGTGCAACAAATCCGTCCCGAAAATTTGAATTGACGTTGAGAGGCCTCATGATCACAGTTAATTGATCAAATAATTAGAAAAAGTAAGCTTCAAGATATCAACTCCTCGTGAATTACTACCTTATATATAAAATATAGAGTAAAAGAATAAGAAAGTGACTTAATACTTAGTCAAAACAAGATTAGAAAACTCCCCCAATGACCATTATCCTCTAGTTTCATACGAGGGAAGATTCCTTTCTACAAAGAATGCCAAATGCATAAAAAAAATAGTTTGAATAAGTATTGGAACTTGGAAGGGTTTCATGGTTTTAGACATAGAAAGGACTAACCAATCTTCAGCTTGGCCTCCTCTCTAGATAAATTGGATTATATATTTTTCTCCAACTAGCTTAATTAAAAATCTTAATAATAACCTTAAGACAAAAGCAGTTGGTACCTTAGCTAAATAATATTAATTAAATTGTATATATTAAATAATATCTTTGAGTCCCTATCTAGATTTTGAAGTGCTCTTGTAATATATAGTTTGCCAATATAGAAATTAGAATATATATATATATATATATATATATATATATATATATATACACTATTTCCTTAAATCAGAACTGGGGATTCTAATATATGTATATATATTCTGAGTGACAATTATGGTACCTTAGCCAAAGTCGTTAGCATGAACTATTAATTATATATACATATATACATATATAAATTGTGTGTGTGTGTGTGTAAATAATCGTAAAAACAAGTGATATAATGGGTCAATGCAAACAGCGAAGTGTTCTTTGTCTTAGATTCAAGGATAACGAGAGAGTTAGGTAAGACTTGATATAATTTAGGTAGATTTAGATTTGATCATCTAGATTTTTAGTGATTGGGTTGCTTTGAAGTTTGAAAACAAATCAAATCATTAATTTGTAGTTCAATCTGATATGAACGTTTGGTCCAATAATCTGAATGGTTGAATGAAGCGGATATGACATTTTGGTTTCTTCTTCCCTGAAAATATTGGCATTAGTCTCTTAAGCGTAACATTTAAGCATATATATAGCTGTTGACTTATCACAAAGAACCTCTATGTGAGGAAGTTACTGAAATGTATGAGTTAAATTCCTAAGAAACTGCAACATGGAACATGTCAACTTTCAAACGGGGTTCTTCCTTTTCTGTGATATTTTCTCATCTACCTACTTCCAAGCTATTTCTTATATATCTACCTAATTCCAAGTATTGAGCATTGCATGATGGCTTTTTATTATCAAGGCATGTACACAATAACATATAAACAAATATTGCTCTCAATGAGTGATATATTTATCAGCTTAACGTGATTGGGTGTTTCAAGTTTGACTATTTTTACCTTGATACAAAAGTAGGAAAATATTATATTATTGACTCTAAAAAAGCCATCCTGCAATACTTCTCTAAAACGTATTTTCTCTCTTATGTCTTTGCATACTTGAAGTGTGAAATAATTTTTTTGAAGTGCTAATAACAGCTATATGCATGATTTATTTACCTAATTATGATTATACGCATACAACTGCTTTTATTAAAAATGAAAAAACGCTATAGGTCCCCTACAATATTAATATATTGTACTTAGAATATTCCTACAAACTCCAGAAGAGAGTTCCTGTATAAGATGACATTTAAATATATATATTCCTCTTATATATACATATGAAGTGAAAAGAAGAGCGACGGTAGTTATACAACTGGTCTTAACTTGTTCTGTTTAGAACCCAAGTTGGAAAATATCCAAACAATAAACAATGTCCATCCAATCATCTTCTCTTGGTGTGCATCCATTTTCATAAACCCCACACCCCTCACCTCTATCATCATATATACCACCAAACGCCTTGCTCATTCGTCCTTTCTCTCTATCTCTCTCTCTCTCTCTCTCTCTCTGTGAATTTAGTTGGAATTGTGGTGGTGTCAGCTTAATATATTTCGAGAATTAAGTTGCAAGAAGCACTTAATACAGAAGCGCTTAATATTATTGCCTGGCTGAAGATGGGCAGAAAGTGTTCACATTGTGGAAACGTAGGCCACAACTCTAGGACCTGCACAAATTTCAGAGGCACTCTTAGTAGCACTAGTTTTGTTGGATTTAGGCTCTTCGGTGTCCAACTTCAGCATGATCACCATCATGTCGTGATGTCTTCTTCTAACATGAACAGTAATTCTGCTAACCATCATGTTGCCATGTCCATGAAGAAAAGTTTCAGCACGGATTGCTTGCCGACAACGTCGTCAGCCTCTTCATCTTCCCCATCTAACTCTTCATTGTCTCCTTCAAGACTTTCCATGGATGAAAATATTTGTGCAGCAGATAAAGCCTCCATCGGCTATCTCTCCGACGGTCTCATATGCCGAGCCCAAGAAAGGAAGAAGGGTATAGTTCCAAATTAATCGTATTATTTATTATTGCTTTGTCAATTTTTGAAAAAAATAAAATATTCAATACCATGTGTGTTTTTACTTTAAAATTGTGTTCTTGAGCATGCATCATATTTACGATTCTTGTTTTCCAATCTGTTGTTTCAAGAACGAGGAGAACTTATCTGCAATTAAGATGTCGGTATGGTGGTATTTCAAGTTAATTGAGTCTTGTCATGTCTTTCATGACAATGCTTAATTTGCTTAGAATACCGCTATATATAGCACCTCCAGAGTAGTTTGTAGGGGTTTACTTTCACATTTTCTGAAAATTATTCACCAATTTATTGTTTGCTTAGGGAAAGTGAATTTCATGCACCTTAATTACATACTCATTATTCATGTATGTTATTAGGAGTTCCATGGACGGAAGAGGAGCACCGGACGTTCCTAATCGGACTCGAGAAGTTAGGAAAGGGTGACTGGAGAGGCATCTCTAGGAATTATGTGACCACAAGAACCCCAACCCAAGTTGCAAGTCATGCTCAGAAGTATTTTCTCAGGCAAGCAAGCCTCACCAAAAAGAAGCGACGCTCTAGCCTCTTCGATATGGTGCGTACTTAACTAATCATTTCAGTTGTTTCCGTTTTCATTTTTTATTTTCACTTATTTTTAAATACCAAAAACTAAATATTGAAAACTGTTTCTGTGAGTTTTCAAATTTTGGTATATGATTTTGGTTTTCAATTTTCAAAAAAATTAAAACTGAAAACTGAAAAAATTGAAATGCTTATCAAAAGGGACGCACGTTAACTACTTATGAAATGGAATTGGACTTGAATTTTAATTTTAATTTTGTGTTAATCATGTTCATGACAGTTTGGGAGCAGCAACAATATAAATATGGCGACTTATGATCCAATTCCTACTCAACGTGACAACATTATTCATGGTGACATGGCCATTGATACCAGCACACTGCCTCCGCTTCAACGTAGCACTGCAGCAAAAAATCTAAAATCAGATCACAATCAAAAACCTCAAAGCAGCAGGACTACTACTCAGCAGCTGCCGGCTTGGATTTACGGGTTGATCGATTCCCAGATGAAATCGAGTTCATCTTCGAGTGAAGCGCCAGTAGTACCGGATCTAGAGCTCACGCTTGCCGCGCCAACTAGTCCTAATTTGGAACAAAAAAAGAGATCATCCCCAACCCCAGCAGGCCCCCTCCTTAATCTTGGAAGGATTAGTGTCACATAAACAAAAGTAAAATGAGGTGGACTGGCATGGGGATACAATATACAGAAATGATCGTGATTTTGACTTTAACCCAAGCAGCTCAAGAGGGATCTCAAGGAACAATAAAATTAATTATTATGTATTAATTATTAACTTTCTTTCCTTTCCTTTCTTTTCCTTTTCTCTTGATGAATAAAACGAGGATGAATCCATGCATGCATGACAACATGTTTTATGGAAGTACTTAACTTGCTTTTATATATGAAACCCATATTGCGTCTGTATAACATCTCCCTATCGCTTGTTGGGTTTTCTCACTAGGTTTATTTTAAGCCACGGCCTCATTAAATATTGATCAGCAAATTAAAATAACAAATTAACGATGTTTTCTTTCTACCAGAGGTGATCAGTGATCTCATCTTCTAATTATTTACAAAGTTCGATTTCTTTATGCCAGTTTGCAGCTGGCTCATTTATGAGATTTTATTGGTCCCGAATTTATTTATGAGATGTTATTGGTCTTGAATTTCTTTTCAGTATTTTAACGAAAGGTGTAAATATTACTTGGAATCTAATAAAGTCTTTATCTTCTTTTTTTCCAAAACAAACACAAAAGCAGATGCACAAACATAATCTGCACGGATGATTAGTGACAAAAATGTGTAGACAACTGGATCAACTGCTTAAATACAGTTTCTTGATTAATGGTACATAATAACAATTAAAAAGTTCTATTGGTATTTAACATTCTTTCACAAGTTTCCCCTCTTACCAAAAGAAATATATTCATGGTTAAGTAGAAATATTAGGGTTTTCGGAATATTAATTGCTTTCAAAAACTCTCTAACAAAAAAGAACTAGTTAGTGTAAGTGATGAATTATTCTGGTGGTTACAGTCTTTTTCTTCAATCCACTACGTTTCAGATTCAAATCCACTCATATGCCCTTATATAGTTTAAAGTAGAAATATCTTTAAAAAGAAAAACTAGCTATCTTTACAGACAGCAGTAGTTGAGCATCTGCACTCCAATTTTAGCAGAAGGGAACCACATGCTTTTCAATGACAAGCTTACTTGTAGCACATGATAAATAAGGTACGTTAATAGATTGTGAAATGCATTAATGCAGACATAAGTAAACCAGGCATGCATTCTTTTGTCGTAGCATCAAGGATAAAATGGGGGGACTACTACTGCACTTGTGTACTGAAATATTACGATATATCTGAGTAACTGGGACAATTTAAAATAAATATTCTGAGTAATTGGTTGGACATACCCCAGTATTAAATTTCTAGGTCCCGAAGTACATACAACATTAAGATTGTGCAGGATAACTTGATCAGGTATGCCAGGTTTTGGAGAACAATTTCAATCAATGATATGAGTATATTATTATCCCGACATCTCAAATCAATAATTTAATATTACATTGAACGAAAACTCACACATAATATTATATTGGTAGAAATGGACGTCTCAGCGATAGTGTAGCAGCGCCATTAATTGGTCTAGTACTAACATAACTAAAAAGCCCACAGCTTGACTTGACCTGTAATTTCCCTGTAATTCTTCCTAATAGTTTATTGTCTGCTCCAACACAAGAAGGTTCTTGACTATTAAGTCAATGTAATATAAATTAATGAGGAAACTGATGCATCAGTCGAAATTCAACCCTGATATTATTCGAAATAGGAAATACACCGCATGCTAGGAAACAGAAAGCAAACTTCTGAAATCTGGAGAATCATGGACTCATAAGTTTTGACAACGTTAAACTTTCCCAAAACTCCAAGACTTTTGTGTGAAAGTTTGATTTTTTAAAAAGTCTCACCCCAGCATAGTAAACACCTTCAATTCCTTGACCACAATTAAGAATAATTTTCCAAATTAATCTCTTGTTTTATTATTTTGTTTTCTGATGGGGTCCAATATCTTGGGTTATTCTTTTCCCTGTCTTTGACTGGCATGTTGCACAATCTACATAGATTTTGAGAGACATGAAGAAAAATCCTTTTTATGAAGATTACGAAGGCAAACAAAGTTCTTGATAATTTTGTGTGACCACAAAGCTGACACATATATATCTGTATGTATTCTAACTATACTGTTCTTAAGGATAAGGAAGAAAGAAACTAGTCCACATGCTCAAAAGAAAATCGATGCTACCTCCAATTATCTACGTGTTACAATTAAAAGTAATGCCATTCCTATTAGCAATTGATTTTTGGTAAAACTACAACTTCCTTCACTATTCTTATTACACTATAGCACTCATCACTTGAGCTACCTACATAGCTACGGTAGATATAATTACGGTGTCAATGAAACTTTCACCTTATCTTTAAGATATTTTACATATTATCATCCTATAGCATTATATCTCTGGTTCACCGAAGACTCTATCCACTCTTAAATCAATATATATGTCTCTATATGTTTTTAATCTGTAAGAGTTGTCAAGTTTGTAATCTTTTCCCCTCGACCTGCTGTGAGGAACTTTGTGCCTGTAGGGAAAACTGGAGGAGGATTCTCTCCCCTCCTAACCTCTCTCTCCCTTCCCTCCTCTCTTATTTGAACAGTTACAGTTTAGCCACGTCAACATCTTATATTGATTTTTTTATAAAGACAAAAAGTAATATGTGAGAGGAGGGAAGGAAAGAGGATGAAAATAAAAAAGAAGATAATCATACTCCAGGAAAACTGGGTCCTCAATAGTACAACTGAGATAATATCATGTCCCTTGTACCTAGATCCTTGTGTCTAAATGTCTCAAGGTATTTTGTCTTGCTTGATTCAACACAACTTGTCACATTTATACTCACTTTTAAATTACAGTGACATTTCAACAAACTTGTATTGTCTTGTTTAATATCTGTTACTATCTATGTGGTGTCAAATTGTTTTGGAATCTTATTAATCTACTCAAATCATCAAAAGCCCACATATCCACTTTCATGTTCACATGAATCTTGTGGACGATAGTAATTTGTTTCTTGTATCAAACACAACCCTCGTTATCTTGTTTTGAACTCATGATTAATAAACTAAGAGTTCGTCCAATAACCACTTCGTTTCTTAGCATTTAGTTTTCACTTTATGTGCATGAGATATAAGAAAAATATATAGGAGAAAAGAGGGTGAAAGAAGAGTGATAGGCAGGAAGAAAGTATACAAAGAAGAATAATGAATGGAAACAAAATCTTAAAAGTAGAAGAAACTTAAAAATATACATCTTCTACATCTCTTCCACCTTTCTTCCTCCACTCTCTATATCTCTAATGTTATGTATTTTCTTTTTCTTACACAAAAATGAAAATTGAAAATGAAGTATGGTATGTATGAAATTAAGAAAAATGAAGAATTTTTTTTTTTTCAAGATCTTATTAAAACATGGAATACTTGAAACTAACAAATAATTTGACACAAAACTAAATACAATATCGTTCTAATATTCACACAATTAACCACACTTAATAGCCTAAAGTTTTGTTGTGGTGGTTGTTATCTTATCAGCAGCAACTGGCAAGCTTTATTTATATAGCCAATAGGCATATGACATCACCAGGTGACAACTGAAGGCATAGAATTCTGTGGAACCATCATCACATGTTATGCAAAACTATATTATATACATGTAGCATAAAGAGAAGTTAAAGTATATTATATAATATGATAATCAGGTGATGGCGATGATCAGCCTCTTAATCACAATAAATTAAGACTGGCTTAATTATAAACTAGTGAGCAATCTTTATCAGTAAAACGTGGATTAACCAATTAGGGATTAATTAGTATAATGTTGCAGTGTTCACACGATTACATATGCAGCACATTTGGTTCGTATGATTATATATAAACAGTTAAAATATCATTTAAACCTACTTCTTATCTTGATTAGTCACACCTACTTAATATTGTACTAAGTCCTGAGGAATGCATGGATACATAATTACACACACGCGCGCATACATATATGTCTGAACTGGAAGATGGTTTACTTCTGCTTTCATATATAAGTTGGTCAACTTTGGCCTGGATTTCTTTAAGGATCGAAGACCTAGCTACTATTATTACTTTTTAATAAAATGTGATTATCAGCGAGGTTAACACTTTATCTTTCCTCGTGGTTCTACCTATTTCATATTCACATTTCTTGATAGTTGAATATTCGTACTAAGGTTGTTAAAGATTCACACGACGTTAAGAACAGACACGTTGAGAAATCATAATTTCTACTTAACTATCTCCAACTTTTGTTCCAATTTATTTACAAGGTTGAGTGCTTTTAGACTCAAAACTTTAGGATTTTGGTACCGGATTGGTTAACCACTTCTTGTTTAGGTTTTAAGTTTCAGATTTTGAACTATCGAAGTTCTAAAAGCAGTGATACTATACTTATAAAAACACTGTTAATAAATAAGATCAAAGTTGAAAAACCAGATTTTCGGCAATATCCATCCTTTAACTTTTTAAAGGGTGAACGTTTAGAATCTTAAGTCTCTACATGGTATATCACTGTAACAGTTTTGGTTTGAAATCTCATCAAATGAGTTTTTGAGTAATTAAGCAAGAAAAAAAAGAAGTGAAGAGATGCATTTCACATTTTAAGGCCTCACTTTCATGTTTCAACCTTGATATCAAAGATCTGACTTTAACCACCACCAGTAAATAAAAAAATAAAATGATATGTAACATTCACCACTAGATTTTATTTTTATTTCTTGGATTTTTAACTATCTCAACTAGATTGATTCCATTGTCATGACATCCTTAAGAGAACAAAGGTTGGAGAGATTCTGTATTGCAAACAAGACAGTCTTAATGACGTCGCTCATTTAATAGATGTTTGTCACGTGTTCAAAAAGTAAATCACTCATTCAACAAACGCTTGTCACGTGATGAATTAATGATGAAATAATATCTCTCCAGCCATTGTGTTCTCTTTTATGAATCAATAGAATTTGACTACCTAAAAAGAGAATCTCTCTCCAGCCCTAGTGTTGAGGAAAATACAAATCATATAGTTTTTATGCATTTTCCAATCAAATTTGCGAAAGAAAACACAACCCCAAGAACCCAAATTTAAGAGAGTGAAAGAAAAACTATGGTATTATTATAAACAAATCCATGATACATTTGAGTTAGGGAACATCACTGGTTCTAAACTAGGGAAGAAAAAATACAAGAAAAATGGAAAAACAAAACAAAAAAATAATCAACCTCGGAAAGAAGGGGGAGGGAATGATTTACATTACAAAATGGACACTACTTCACAACGAACAAAATTTTCTCGTGCGAACCATCCGGCGTGCTCTCATTTTCCCGGTCTCAATCGGTGATACGATTCACTCTTGCTTAATCATAAGATGCATGGAAAGTTTCAATTGAAGGGCTTTACAGTTTAGAAACATTTTCAGTCAGTCGACCTCGTTTGCACTCTTCATTACCTGTCCTCCAGAGTATAACAACCCCATCGGGTGAAGGCTGAAATGTGCATTTTCTGGTTCATTGTTCATGTGTCATAAATCATGAGATCCGTGGAGCATCATAGCAAAACGCTTAGCACTGTCTGAGCGAAAGCTATCTCCTTTAAATCCAATCTGGGAGGAGAAAACCATAATTCAAGATACACTTGCTCAAACAAGAATCATACAAAATTGTAAAGTGACACATATTTGCAGGGTGAAATTTATCGAGTATATATTCAAGCGCAGATGATTACCTCACTCGGGCTATCAAGGGAGAACCACCGCAGCAACACACCAAGATGGACAACAGCAGGAATTATCTTGAAAAGCAATGGCGTAGTGACCTGCACCATAAGATCACAAAAATAAATATTTCTTTGAACAGGCCATGCACTTCGAACTGAGACGCAAATAACATTTGAGGAGATGTCTCGCATACCAGACTGAGAGCTGTTGTGCCTAGAAGCAATAGATATAACTTACCCTGCAATAGTGATAAACCTTCAGTTCCCATTTCACTTTACACTAAGCTTTCAGTTAAATCCCTAGATTAGGCGGGGTATGTAAGAAAGTTAACATTTTTAAAATTTCTTAGAATGCAATTTACTGGTGAAGCACTAACCTCAACTAGATGAAGATTAGAAGCACGGCTTAGAAGAACGAAAGCAAATTCTCCAATTTGCGCAAGAGACATCCCGACCTACACATATAGGATAACCTAAGGCCCCCTCCGTCAACAAAATGTACAAAGTAAAAATGGAAATAAAGATGTGTTGACAGTTTGTTGAAATCTTACAAGAAGGGAAGTCTTGTTATTGTATCCAAATCCCTTGACCACGCAACCAACCACTACAGTTTTTACAATGATTACCAATATAACGGCTGCTAATAAAATATCAACATGATTCCAAAGGAAATGAACATGTATTAACATCCCAATGCTGGCGAGAAAAAGAGCAGCAAAGAAATTGCGAATGGGTTCAACCTGAAAGATAGGGAACCCCAAATAAGAGCAGAAACACACTTAAAATTAGAATATTGACAATTGATGATAACATTTGAACACTATGTACGAAACATGTTGAATGGATCACACATCCTGTTAAATTGTTTACTATGATAGTAGAAATCTTATGTAGGACATTTCCTAGAATCATCAATCATGAAGCATACAAGGGGATAACAATTTGTAAAGCCTGTATCAGCTACACGTACATAGAGAATAAAAAATATCTTACTTGCTCCAGCGTATGCTGACCAAGATCAGTTGTTGATATCATCACTCCAGCCGCAAAGGAACCCAGTTCAAGGCTTAAACCCAGCTTATCACTACACTGAAATGACAAAGAACAATGCACATTATATCCATCCTTCCAGGAAGTTATTAGATAGACGCATGTAAGCATGAAAGCATGTACTGTAGACCCCCAGGGGAAGACGTTTAGGGGTTAGGTATATCAACTAACAAAGTTGGTAACCCCAAACCCCTTACGTCCCCCCTCCCATTGTTGATGATAGTCTGTTTCTCTTACTGATGTATTAACTAGAATGAGTCCGTCCTATAAAACGGAAGATGTAAAAGATAGGAAATGAGACAAACCCAGGCAACTAGTAAGCAGAACGCCACTGATGCCAACTGATACAGTTCATTTGTCTGCAGATAAAAATTGTTCAGTAAAAACAATCTCTGAAATTAAAGCATCAGAGTGCATTAAAATGAAGATATATCAAAATACCTGAGAAGATAGGCTTATCATAAGCTTCAGGAACCATGGTACACAAGTACGTGCTAATATGGACAAGATGGCCAAAAACATAAGCAAAACCACCAGCCTGTGATAATGTAGTATTTAAAAAGAGAAACGAGGCAATAATAGAAACTCAAAGCAGGTAAAATCCAATTCATTTCAATATCACTAGAGAAATAGAGCAGTTAACAATCTCCCGTTCCAAAGACATTAACCATTCTGTTTCTAACTTTCCACAGCTGACTAATGGGAACTACAGAAGTGTATATAAATGACCTGCTCACAACCAGCCCATTCACTTGATTGTATTACTTAATTTAACAATCACATATGACTCCTTTTTGTGATAAGTAAATATTGCTAACACGGGCCAGCAACCAGCCTCTTAAGACTGGTTGCATCCGCTCTCCTTCTCCCCCTTCTTTATATTATAGGATGAATTTTCATAACAATTACTTACGATTTAGTCATGGATATTACTCCTTGAAGAATACCAGAAGTCCCACCCAGAACTGGAAGCAGAGCAAATAGCAAACCCACAGCACAGTCCTAGTAGGTCACATAAAGTGAAATCATAAGCCTTCCAATCATCGTTTTAAATGCTAAGTAGTGAAACTTAGCAGTGCTAGATTCTGCAATGTGAGAAATTATGATATCACATACCTGCAGTATAAGAGTGCCAACTACAACTTGACCATGAAGAGCACTGATACTATTTCTTTCCATCAAGAATTTCAAAACCTGCAGACCGAAAAAAAGATGAAATAATACAAAAACTAAGAGGTTGCTACAGGAAGACCAAGATTCAAGGATACAGAAAAACAATGAGATTGGACTAAAGAAGAGGTAGGCAAACTTGTTTTCCAGTATCACCACTTGAACTATCAAATATTCCATAAAATTGCACATAACGATTCATATAGAAGCAAAACAAATCAATTCTATGCATATTGTGCATACAATTGTGAAGAAATACGAATTTCAGATTAACATAAGCTGAAGAACCCACAACCCATTTGCAAGAATTAGAAAATTAAAAAGGTCATGAATCCATATATTTTTCCCCAAAAAAACACGTATGTAGGGGATGAGAGAATTTAGAGATATCAGGGAAAAGAGAGTCACCACTGCTGTCGAAGACATAGAAAGAAATGCACCAACAAATACCCCTTCTGAAGGCCTCCCACCGCATAACTAGAAATAGCGTGCAGCTGTCGTATTAGAATTCCATTGAAGACACAGATTTATGTGCAAAAAAAGAAAGTAGGAACAATCACAATATGGCGTCATTGGATAACAAGTCTAGATATAAATATGTAGCAAGAAATGTTCAAGTAAAATGTAAACATACCAAGGCTGTTATTCCACACAAGCACATAAATAGGAATATTTGCAGTAGACCTCCCAGAACAGCCACTATTCGAACAACCCGAAGCTGCAAACTTAAAAGGGATAGAATAGTATCATGGCCTAAATTAATAGACCAACAAAATCCAAAGGGATACTGCAACATTCAATTTACAAGCCTACCTTAGCAGCTGAGAACTCCAAACCCAACGCAAAAAGAAGAAAGATCACCCCAAACTGAGCCACAGTCTCAACCTGCATGCATTTCTTTTAATAAGGAAACAGAAGTAATGCATATGAAGATATCTTAAAGATCATACGTCAACATACTTGCACCATTTCACTGACAAAACTCAAGCCTCCAGGTCCAATAACAGATCCTGCTAGCAAGTATCCAGTAATAACCTGTCCATAACATAGTGAGTAGGCACTTTTTCGAGAATACATGGATCTTAAAGCAAAAGAGGTCTTCAAATAGAAACTTATTATAAAAGAATGCAAAGAGCTACGATAGAGGACAGACTGGTTGTCCAGCACAGGCAAATGCAATTCCACCACAAGTTGCAGAAACAATGACAACTACCAGGTCCGAAATCAATCTGAACATATGAAGAGGAAACATCAGCCAAAATTTTCAGTCACTCATAAATGAAAGGGTAATAATAATAAAAACTTTAGCTGACCTCAAGTCCAATTGCAGCACAGGGTATTTTGACTTGCGATTGGACATAATAAAGATATTGTCCTGATAAAAGAAATTTGAGCATACCAAAAGTATTAACTTCGACCGCAAGACAGTATATATATTTTCCAATGCAGGTTATGGACATCACAATAATGCACTTTTACACATTTTAAAAACATCACCTATCCACGTTACAATAGTATAAATGCAACGTGAACTAAACAAAATTTTCCAATGACGGGTGGCAGACATACCTTTCGATCTATTAATGTTGGCATATCTTCTTCTCCATTCTCATTATGGAAAACATCATGAAACTGAAATGACCTAAAATAAGGCTCACAAAGGTGTCAGCAAACTCACTTCACGTATTCCTATATCCAATTACAACTTCCACAAAGAAGTTAACATATTTGTTCTCCAATTCACAAGATAGAAGTACATACTTCTCCTCCTTGCTGTCATTCTTCTTGGACTTGACTCTAGCAACGGTTTCCAGAACTGCCTAATAGACAAAGAGTTACAGCTTTCAATCTTGGGCCAAGTTTATGCAAAAATCACTTATGCAAGACAATATTACAATATGAGAAATTTTGGTGTGATGAGACTATAAACATAGCATCCAGTGTAAACATTTCTTTAGTTGATCAATCTAAAGCATCTTCCTTTTTTGGTAATCTCGCTCTAAAGTTTGTCAAAGGTGTTAACTTTAATGCGATCATTACAAGATGGTTTTTAGCAATGCCGGTTTTCAACGTTCCTAAATCAGCACTAGGTGTACACTTGTCAAACGTGTTAACTTTAGAGCGATTATCATCAAATTACAATCCGATCTTCGCAATGCAGGTTTTTAGCATCCCAAAATCAGCTTCTAGGTGTACACTACTGATCAATTACATCAAATTACAACCTGGTTTCTAGAAATGCCGGTTTTAGGGCTAAGTTCTGCCCGCAAACTCCTATCATCTAACACCAAAACACACAACTTTAAAACCAAAAAATGTCAGAGCATACGAATGAGTGCCTACCTGCTGTTCGGCAACGCTATTATTGAAGCCGCCAGCATCCTCGGCTGCACAACAAGACACAACAATTTACACCATATTAACATCAACGTTGTCGTTAATTGCTCCAAAATTTCCATTCGAATTCAATTAAAAATTCCACATTTTTTCATAGTACCAAACAGACAGTATCTAATGCATGCAAAAACGAGGAATTGAAATTTGAAAGCCGTTTTTAAAAAATGGCCAAAACGAGGAATTGAAAAGCTCGGGATCTGAAAGAACCTTGATTTTGCTCGTTCTCTGGAAACTCCCGCTCCAGAGCCCGATCAATCATGTCGGCGAAGCTGTCCTCCTCGCCACCGCGCGACGAGTTATTCGACTCGGCATTGGTCTCCCCCTCGGCCACTGCCACCGAGTTCGACTGAGTCGACTCGGCGGACTCGGTGGGGACAGTAGCGAAAAAGCAGAGAAAAAGAACGGGCAGTGCGAGGGCTGTAGGAGATCGGAGCCTCATTGGAGAGGCAGCGGTGCGTGGTGCACTTAGAGTGACCCGGCGCAGGTTAGCAAATACGACCGTCGTATCCGATTCTCTGTGAGAGGGAAAAGGTTTCAGTCGAGTTTTTGGAAATGGAGGAGATGATGGTGAAAATACGAGACTGTCCTCCGAAGCAAAGTTGTGGGGGAATCTCCCCCAGGTGTAGGCTCTGTGTCGAGAGAGAGGAGAAGGTAATTAAACCCTACGCGCCGATGTACGCGCGTGATTGCACCTTCAGCGCACGTGGAAAATGGAAACGCAATCTACGTTTACATGTGCCAGTGGGGTAGTTAAACGGTGCTTTCCGCCCTCTGGGGAGGCGGCAACTGTGGGTAGGGGATTGGGTGCGGCGGCGGCGCATGAGGAGCAATGCAGCTCCCAACGGTCAATGAGGTAGAGTACGGCCTTGGCGCCGCGGCAGCGGGAAACTTTCTTATGTTTGCCCAAGGACAGAATTAAATGTTAAGCAAAGGTCAAGAATGATAAATGAGGAGGATGATTGGTCAATTAAGTGACAATTGATCCAAATTATAGATCCTTGAATAGATCTTGACCAAAAAAATGAAAATCCTTGTATAGATCTATTTGAAGGGGCTCCAGATTATAATCGTCTGTCATGTTTTAGTGACGTATTTTGAACTTACATTTTTTTTATTTACTACTTGAATTTTAAGTTACTCCAAACTTAATTAACCTTTTATATGTGTCAATTGCTCAAGAACCCTAACCCTCCTTTTATATTTTTTGTTGAACAATCGATATTATTTACATCAAGGAGGGAGGGGGTAAGCATAGCCTCACAATGGACTAACAATAATGTGACATCTCACTAACAATTGAAGAAGAATACCATTAGACCGTAGTAATAAGTGGCAAGAACCCTACCATTGAATCTGATAAATTCTTCGTAAAATTGAGGTTGATTCTGTCCATTCAAGTGATGAAATTTGAAAAAATGAGATATATAAATGGGCTCATTAGCGAATACGGATATTTGGGCCCAGCTGAGAACCCAATTTCTTATTTTGATACTTCTCTCTCCCAAATTTGAAGAAGTACAAACGACGTCGTTCTTATCTTCCTTAACTCGTAGGCTTGCGATTGTGGTGTTTTTTTTGGTGTTAATAGAACGAAAGAAGCTTATTTAGGAGGGTGTATTCAATTGAAAATTTGAGAGATTTTAACAGATTTATAAATTTATGGATTTTTATGGAGTTTAATTGAATTGTAGAGATTCCATGTAAAATTTTGGTTTAATTCCTTCAAAATTTCTTGGGGAGTGTTGACTACAAAAATTACAAAACCTACGTGGCGCGCAGGCCGAGTAACTAATGAGCTAACTACGTCCTTCGGTTGAATGCGGGGCGTGCCAACTCGTCGGCCGAGCTCGGCCGAGGAGTAAAATGTGATGTCGCGTTGGGTGCGCTATCGACTTCTGTATCTTGCGATTGCGACCGAGGAAGGAACGCTCTCGGTCTCTGGGTTCTATAGCCTGAAGACAAGGCTACTAATTCTACGGAGTTCACAGGTCGTCGGACCCTGATTCGGTCACTGTGATTATATTCGTAAGAGTATAAGCACGCCGAATCGAGACCAAACTATATGGGCACAGGTACTCGAATGTGATGTATGTCTTGATGGTAAACGTAGTTCGGCCGTCGGAATGCCGAACCCTGAAACTTACTTGCGAGTATCCAATCATAAACTCACTCGACGTCCAATACGCCGAGCAATGCAACTCGTAACACCCAACTATGCCGAAAAGGCTTAGTTAGATGACCTCCACCAACAAAGGTTCGAAAACCCTTCTCGGCCGAGACTTAGATAGATAATCGGTCGACCTCGACGCAGTGCTGTTTATCCAAACTAAAGGTGTTTCTCGGTCGGCTGATTTTGCGGCGGCAGTGCTGTTTATCCAAACTGAAGGTGCTCACCGGTTGCTTCCACAGTGCTGTTTATCCAAACTGAAGGTGTGTCGGCAGGAAAAGAAAAGGAAAAATCTCAAGGTGTTTGAGAGGTTTTGCGCTGGGCAATTGTATGCTGATTGTGAAGGGGCCCTCTCTATTGCGTAATTTCTTGTATTTATAGCACCTCGCTCCTTGATTCCCATTCTGATTTGGATTGGGAGTCCTTGTCCCATCTCACCTTTAACTCAAACAATCCTAGTCCTACTGGGATTCTGAATTCTCCTCCTTTTGAGGCTTTATCCCTTGCCGGTCGAGAATCCTGGTCGCATCAGGATTTCCTCGACCTTTCCTCATTTATCTGGACTACTTAAGATAGGATCTGGCCGACCCTGCCAGCTGGTCCGAGTTTCATTATTTGGCCCATAGCATGTGTTATTACCTTGGGCCGAGCACATCCTGCTGCTCGGCCCAATCATAATATTTTGGGCCCAAACATTGCCCCCTCGCTTCTGAGGTCGTCGACTGTTAACTCTTGGTCGAGCCTCGGCCTTGAAGAAGTGAAAACATTTATTGCTTTGTTGGACCTTACTTCATTAATGGCCATTATTCCTGCACATTTATGAGACATGATTGCACCTTCCTCGTTGCCCCCAACGCGTGGCCATGTGTCAATCTTCCGCCGCTCTTAAAAGCTTCAATCATGGGCCTCGAAACCGTGCACTAATTAAACCGTCTTATCCTTATTAATACATTGAACCTGTCGCCGCACGCCATCGTGCGTCCTGGATTTTCGACTCCTCGATCCCATTTTCGCAGGTTCCCAAAATATCCGAAATGATTGCAGGCTTTCCCGGTTAAATTTCCCCCCACTTTTGAACGAACACCTTTCGAATTCCAATGCCTTTCGAAATTCAGGCGTTTGATCTTCTATCTGAAAAGCCTATAAATACCCACCCTTTACTCTGTTCGTATCTTACGCTTTCAGAAATCCCAAAACTCTCAACTTTTACTCATCCTTGCTTGTTCAAACCAAACCCTCTAGTTTTCCTTTCTGCAATCTTTCCAGTTCTTCCAGACTACTCTAATGGCCTCCTTCATCGCGAAGCTTTCTGATGAAATCAATAAGTGCAAGGATTTCATCGATCGGAGCTCTATCAAGACGCTACGATTTGAAGAGGATATGGCCACCACCCACCAAATTCTGGGTCCCCTCTTCAGAGACGCAGTGCCGTCGTCTGTCACTGACCTGCTCAAGGAGCAGTGCCTGACACCCCTGCTGCAGGGGTTCGATTGGTCGAAGTGGGCCCTGGCGCGGCCTCAAGGAGCTTGGCCTTCGACCACCACGGCTTGGGCCGCCTGGGTGGATCGAATGAGATCTTTCTTTGGCGAGGAGTGGAAAGCCCTTAGTATCTATGATGCCATCCTGCTCTCGACCATGGAGATTACCATGGACAAGGAGCTGCTTATGGCGGCCTTGACTCTTTGGTGTTCGGCCACCAACACTATGATCCTTCCATTCGGCCCCCTCGGCCCAACGGTCCTTGATATTTCGGCAATCCTTGGGACTTCTTCATCCGGCCTCCCAATCGATGCCGCCCTTTCAGGACGCCCCTCCCTTCTCGATCTGAAGGCGCTTTTCGACGAGCGGGCCGTCGAAACGCTCCGCCGAGGTGATCGGGAGCCCTCGAGGGAAGAAGTTCACAAGCTTCACAAAAACTTCTTTAATTACAATACTCTCATCCTCCATTTCGCCGGCCGGGGCGAGGAGAGTCTCAGGAAGGGGGAACATGAAGCCTTCCTCTTCTACTGGTACAACAAATTTATTTGTTGTACCAGATCGAACAAATGCTTGGTCGAGAATATGCCAGTGGCCCAGGCTCTGGCTAGTGGTCACCCTCTGGCGCTCAGCCCGGCTATTCTCGCCAACCTTTTCCGTTGCTTGGCCGAGACGACCAGCAACAAAATTGACCCGCATCAGAATGAGCCCCTCTGGGTCTTCCAACTCTGGCTGCAGGTCTACTTCTCCACTCTTCGGCCTGAAGTCCCTGCCTTCCAACGCTCGGCCGCCCTCGGCCCCCAACTGGCCTCTCGACCGGCTCCTCCTCACCGGGCCGACGAGGTCTTTAGGCACTTTTTTGGCCTCGACGTCCTTTCGGACGACGAGTTTTTGGTGTGCCGGCACCAAGAGTACCCTGCCTCGATCAGGCTCCCGACGGCAGCTTGGGCCGAGACCGAGGATGCGGGCCTCCGTCAGTCCTGGGGGTCAATCGTACTGGTTCGCGACCTTCCCCTTGGTTGCGACGCCCGTCGAGCTGGCTGGGAGGTCTACCATCCCCACTTCGTCGCCCGGCAACTCGGCTACCTCCAAGGTTGCCCGGTTCCCTTGCTCACCTCCCGTTCCCTCTTGAGCCGGGGGCGTCTTTCTGGTTCTTCCGAAAGGGAATGCCGGTCGACGGAGCAAGAATTCCAGGATCGGTGCAAGAAATTCCGTCTTCGGCCAACCGTTCCGGAATCCTTGGGCACCGATACCTTTGGGGATTGGTGGGATGAGTATACCGGCGACTTCTTCGGTGCCTCGGTCGAAGACGTGGTGAGCAGAGTCTTTGGCGACCGGCCAGGGCTAGCGCCCTCGACCCAACCTAAGGAGTCGGCTCAAGGTATATTGCTGACTAATTACTTTGCTATTTCAAAAAAAACTTGCCCTTGTTTAACAATTATTTTGCCATTTCAGGGGGTCGTGCGCCGAGGAAGGTAGAGGTGGTCGCCGCGGTGGCGAAGGCGAAGAAGGTGCAGAAGCCCCTCGCCACCGAGCGGGCAGTTCCAGCCAAACGCCCCCACCGAGCGGCCGAGCCGGAGGTTGATGCCCTTCGCTCTTCTAAACGCGTCAAGAAATTGGCGAAGAAGGGCGACCGGGAAATCCATGTCGTCCCTAGTGACACCACAGGGACGGCTGCTCCTGCCGGCTCGCCTCCTTTGCCGAGTGCCCCGACTCCTCCGGCCGTCTCTCCTCCTGAGGCCACGGGAAAGTCGGCTGCCCCTGTCGAGGGACCTTCTTCTCCAACAGTCATCTTGGAGGTACAATTCTGCCTTTACCTTTTCCCTTTAGGTTTTTTGGTCGTAACACCGTTTTTTTTTCTTTTTTGTTCAGGATGTCGAGAGCGAAAGCGGGGAGATCCCCCTGGAACGCCGTCGCCGACCGGTTAGCTCTCCTCCCGTCCGTCCTCCTCCGGCAGTCGAGGCGGCCGCTCGACCGACTCCTCCGGCGGATCGCGGCAAGCGACCCAATGCCGAGCCTGAGGCTACGGCCGGGTCGCCGATCCACCCCCAGGATGAAGATCTCCCCATTCCTCCGCAGGAATTCACCTCGGCCTATGTAAGTCTTCTCTTTTTTGCATTAATTTTCCAATGACACGTGTTCTTAAAAGATTATTAAAATGTCAGGTGCCCGATCATTCATTTCACCGG